TAGTTGAACTTGACTTAAACAAGTTAGAAGATAACGCAGGCAGTTTTTGTTCCATCTAAAGGATTACATGTCAAATGACTATTGTGTTTGTAAGCTTATAGTTGATCAAATTATATCATTTTTATGACAATACATATAAATATACATGTATACTATAAGCTTACGTAGTATTTGACTATCTGATTAAAATACAAACCTAGATGTTTGGTTTAAGTCTTTTACTGAGGGCCACTTCACATCACTCCTCATTGCTAAGAATCAAAAAAACATGAAACACTTCAATCTTCATCTTATCAGATTCAGGATCTGACCAAGTGCTAAAAGGACACAATGTAGGAATTAAACCGCGTACTATTCTTCACATTGTTTGATAAATTGTACCTTTAACTATTGGCAAGGCATACAGAAGATATCCAATAAGATTTAGTATAGATGTTATTGAAACATTGTTATATAAACTAGTTTGATTGTAATTTGAGTAGTTTGTTTCAAATCATCTGCCAATAGATTTATATCATGTATATAGACTGAATTTTGAACACTTATTGTAACAACTTGTTATCTGAAGCTTTCTGTATGGGAAACCCACTTTAAATTTAACCCGAAATAATATAAATCAGACCAGCTTGACCATCACCCCTGACTAACAGATTATTGGCAGGTTATAAGAAGGATATGAGATGTTTATTATACAAAGCTATTAACAATATTTTATGATTTACCAATGATGTAGTAGATACTATAGTTGGCTCTCTACCAATATCTCATTATTATTTAGTCACTTAACCTACATCTAACCTTTTCTAATCAAACACATCTGGAAATGTCTTCAATCTGATTTCTCTTACCAATTTACTGAGGACTTGTTGATAAACATTAAGATTCCTTCAATGTTGTCTTTTCTTGAAATTGATATAGTTGATTTATATAGCTGATTATAGTAGGATTATACTCACACTTTCTATTCCACATCCTTGTTATGTCTTTTTCTGCACCAGTTTGGGCCAATGAAGGTTGACAATCGATGAAGGGTGCAATGAGGAAATTTTGTTATGACCTATACCAATTGAATTACAGATATGAATCACACGCTCACTTCAACAGCACAACTGTCACATTTTCTCTCTTCTGGAGGCTGCAACCAACAGAGTAAAACACTAAAGATAATAAAATTGAATCCCTTACTTTTGGATTAGCAAGTAAGCATCTTGCTGAACTAGTCAGTCTCCTTAATCACAGACAGTGATAAAGGCTGTAATTTTGGTCAGTTACATTGCATAGAGATCCAGTGTTTGTACTTTAAATACTAAGTTAAAATATTTACTCCCTTTCATCAATAAAAACAACTTTCAATTGCAACAAAGGTAAATTAAAATTCTGCCAATGGACACCCACAATCCAGTTTAATTAGTGCTAATCTATAACACAGACACAAGGAAGAAGATTTTTCAAGATGATACAATAATAAACACTATATAATAAACCTCACTTATAATTGCCAATTACTGTTTGATTATGTCAGGATAAAAACTTCTTTCAACAAACAATTTTCTATTTTTTCGCTTTTCTGGTACAAAAATAGTCTCTGAGTTATATAAATGAAAAAAACAACCATAATTTTTTGTGTCTAATCAAATTAAGGTTTTGGATATGTGTATTCATCAGTCAACCTTTGTTTGAAATAGTTTAATGATAAGCATACTCTATAATATATTTGTCAATTTTATACTAATAAGTATTGAATTTCATATACTGGTACCTTTTTTATATTTTATAATTATTCAGTTGCTGTTTTTGAAGGTGCTTCTGAAATGATCAGTTGCTGATTCTGAATCAAATGAAATGAATAGTATCAGTTTCTGAAAGTGATTCTGATCTGATCAATGCTGTTTCTGAAGGTGTTTTTGAAATGATTAGTTGCTGTTTCTGAAAGTGATTCTGATCTGATCAGTTGCTGTTTCTGAAGGCGCTTCAGAAGTGATCAGTTGCTGATTCTGAAGGTGTTTTTCTAGTGATCAGTTTCTGATTCTGAAAGTGTTTTTGAGCTGATCAGATGCTTTTTCAGATGTTTTTTTTAACTGATGAGTTGCTTTTTCTGATGGTGTTTTTGAAATGATCAGTTGCTTTTTCTGATGGTGTTTTTGAAATGATCACTTGCTGTCGCAGTTTCTGGCTACTTCTGTTTTTTTCTATTACTGTATGCTGTTCACTACGGTTGTTCACTTCACTAGATGTTCAATACTGTGTCTGAAAGTGTTTATTTAGTATTAGGTTGATTTTCTATCATAATTTACATATATTTACATTGGAAAATTCCCTTTAGACGTATGGTGTAATTATGGTTATGGCCATCTGATACTTTTCCTATTGGTTCAACATTTTGGATGATGATGATATTGGCCATGCTCCAGTTAGTTAGAAATTGGAATTGTCAGGAATTGTTCCATCCATTTATAATATACATCATTAATGTCAGTTATACTATATATCTTATACATGATTCCTGCTAGTTCTATGGTTCTGAGAAATTTTGTATTTGAAAATCTACTATTGTATTGCACATCTTGGTATTGATATTGGATCTCATTGGCATTTAAAATCTTTACAGATCTGAATTTTACTTCGTACAAATTCAAGTCATTTCATAAAACTCTGCAGGTTGCATGATATTTTCTTTTATGACTTGTACTGTCTTGAAATTAGTGAGAGATTTCCATCTTCAGACTGGTTTCCAGTGCCATCTGATTTGAACAGAAACCTATTGAAACTTTATTGGAGTGATGCATACAGAAGTTAAATGTCTCTTATTGTGAAATATATACTGGAATATTAATGACTACTATTATAAGACAGTTAAAAGGCTATAGAGTTTGTCAAGTCACTCGAAAGAATGAAAATGAAAGAAAAAGGTAAGAATAATGAATACTGTATGACTAATTGAACATAAGGGACCTTTCCTTGGGTTTGTTCACGATAATTAATCATACAAAACTGGTTTAGTTGGAAAGTTTGCTGCAAGAGGATTATCAAGATTCAATGTTTGAATTCCCATATCCCATATTTCTTAAAATGATATTAATCTCAGCTATGATACAATGAGAAATCATAGATAGATGGTTTTGAAAGGCTTAATTCTACATAATTTGGACTTTTAGCGGGCTGATCAGTGATATCAAGGATTATCAAAAGTAATATTGGTTTGACACAATTATTGATTAATAAATAAAAACACCAAATAAACAATTTAGCTATATGTACTCTTTGAAATGAATGCTTTCAGTAGAAATTGGGATTTAAAATTAGTATATCATGTATTTATATTACTTGTTTATTCTAAAATTCTAGAAGTGACTTAAGCAGCCTTTAAATGATACACATGACAGAAGTTGTCTCCTTTTGTAACAATATTCACAGTTACAAGTCAAAATATTCAAGCCAAATTTTGATGCCATGTAGGTTTTATTATACATTATCATTACAGCATTTAAAGTCATAAATAGCCTTTTGAAGATATATCTGATTTTATTGATTACTTGAAGATATATCTGATTTTATTGATTACTTGAAGAAATATCTGAATTACTAATAACCCGTTGAAAAGAATATCTGAATTTATTGATTACTTATCTGAATTTGTTTATAACCCATTGAAGAAATATCTGATTTTATTAGTACAGATTTTGAGGAAATATCTAAATTTATCGATTAGCTATTGATGAATATATCTGAATGTATAAATATCCTTTTGAAAAAATAGCTTGTTTTTTTAGTACAGATTTTGAAGAAATATCTGAATTTATTGCTAACTTATTGTAGAAAATATCTGAATTTGAATGTAACCTTTCGATGATATAGCTTATTTCATTCGTACAGATTTTGAAGAAATATCTGAATTTATTTCTAACTTAATGAAGAAATATCTGAATTTATTGCTAACTTATTGAAGAAATATCTGAATTTATTGCTAACTTATTGAAGAAATATCTGAATTTATTGCTAACTTAATGAAGAAATATCTGAATTAATTGCTAACTTATTGAAGAAATATCTGAATTTATTTATGACTTATTGAAGAAATTTATGTTTTTATTCATAGCCTATTTATGACAAATCTGAATTTTCCTTATAGCCTATATAAAAAATAGATAAGTTTATAATGTAAAATATATAAATATTTATAGATACACATGTAAGAGATCAGAATTTATGAGCAACCCACTGTAGTAATATCTGAATTTATAATACAGATAGTGTTGTAATATCTGAATTAACTTCATAGCTTATCTATTTATAACCTTACAAAACGTTTTAATTTGTGTTGTTTTGACATAAAGTCTGAATTTCTGTGAAAATTGACAGTGCTGAGTTGAACCTGGATATATGATAAAACCATACATAAAGCCTACTGTTAAAGTCATAATAATATGTACGCTCATTAGGTATTATTACACTTTGATGTAGAAATATTATAATAGCAACGTTCATTAGTTTTGCTCATTACCTTTGATTACCTTTGATTGCTTTTAAAGAAACATTTAATTAAAAAAGTATATGATTTCCCTCACAAAAGATAATTGCCTATAATGTGATATACATTTTGTTTGTTTCATTTTTGAATCCTTTAAGATGGCTTACTGTTACTATTTAATTTATAGAAATTATAGTGTATCTGGGGAAACTTATAGCATCAATTTGCAATTCCTGAAATTTGATGACTCCACTAATCGCAAAAGGCCTTATGTAATAAAACATATTTGCGATCAGTGACATCATCAAACACTTCTTCTTTTTAGAATTGCAGGAGTCACAGACGTCTGACTGAAATCTGTGCAAATTGATGCTATCACAGTCCCATAATGAAGAAAAACCTTAAAGAGTTGCTTGAGCCCCGACGTAACAGAAATAATACATAACGTAAACAGAAATGATCCATTGGAATAATAATTTTGAAATACATGTTTTTTTTTTCTAGAATTATGCTAAAATGAATTATTTCTTTTTTAAGAATAGAATTTATCTAGGCCTGTTCTTTTTTTTCTATTTTCTTGAGGAACAAGAACAGTTTTAATTCTGAAAAGAAAGAAAATGAATGTATGTTGTGCAAGGAATGGCAGGAAGATTTAGTATCAGACTTCCAAATGGTAAATATGGACCTGAATAAACATGGAAATAAGTAAAACAAACATGCAATCATGAATATAGAAATCAAGTTATATAACATGCTGTAACGAGCTGTGAATATTATTAGAGATCATGTTTAGAACAGTCTTTCTAAAACAACATTTCTGCTGTATTAGTTTCTAATTGTTGTATAATATGAACATGTCAAAGTTTTTATATGAAAGAATAAACACTTTTGATTCAGGATAGAGTTTACAGATGTAACTATTAGTGTGTATACATATTAACCTAATGATATTTCAATCTGTTAAAGATTGTTCACAGGATTTCCAGCATTTTTTGTGAGGGAAGAGAGTGTTTACAGATTAGTCAAAAGCATGAGGTTGGGGTCTTATTGAGTCTCAATTCAAAGTGAAAAGGTTAATTAAAGTGAACAAGTATGATGCATTCTGTCATCTCAATTCTTATAGTGTGTCATATAGTTTATATGACTTGAAGTCTATTTAAGTAAGATAGTGTTCTTTGTTTCAGTAATTCCAAGCTATTGACGGGTTGTAATTTGCAGCTGTGTTTTGTACTTGTATTAAATGTATATATTGTTAATCATCATGTCATCTGAAATATGGGAAAAGTTTGCACATTTTTGTTAGTCAAGGTATTGTGATGTCACTTAATTAACACCTATATATGTATTAATCAAAGCCTCAATTCTGATGAGGAAGTCTGTAATATGAGAAGAGTATACAAGAGTTTGACTGTAAAAGACAGAATTTTGAAGAGTGGTATGAGAAATGTCAATGTCTTTATGATATGATCTGGTAGCTCCTGTTCTGTTATAACAGGATCAATATCCTATTATAAATCTCCTTTAATAGTAGATTAATCTATACAGCACTACCATGGACTATAATAATTACAAACAGTATCTCTGAATATATCACTATATATTTGGGAGAAGCTCTCTATGGATAGTTCTCCATATTACAAATTACAATAAATATCTGTTCTAGTACAGATATTTGAGTATCATTAGTTCATCTAAAACTTGTCAGGAACCTTTCTTGTGTGTTAAGAGAAGTAATGGAAGGGACATATTGGTACTCATTCAAATATTTGCTCTGCTACTGATACAACTTACTTTAGTTTGGAAGTCTGGTCATTTAAAATGTACAGCAGTGGATGTGATTCCAGCATTGATGATGTGTTATTATTTTTTCTCATGATCATACCTGTAATATAAATATCATCATGTCTCTTAACAATATGTACAGGTGAGAATTCAATTCTTGGGCTTTCTACAGAGTTAAATAAGAAGATAAAATCCTAGTTTTAGGAACTTTTTTTGCTTATTAACATTTGAAATTTGTTTTGTACTCTATATGGTATTACCATTTCTAAATACCAATTCAATCAGCATATTCTAATTCACTTTCTTTTCCAATTTCCATTATCTAGTTATTAACCATGTTATTTATGCCATTATTACACATAGAAAATATGACCCTGATTTTGTCTGATGTCTGGTTGAGGCACACCATGTACACTGATGATAGGGCTATCAATAACATACAAGAATTAACATATGGTTTGACATATTCAAAACAAAACATAATCAGATGCTTGAAGTTCTGGTGCTAAAATGTCTGGCACTGAAATTCTAAATCAAGTATAAGCTTGAAAGGCATTTATAAAACAATGTTTGTTCTCTCATACATAAGTTAATAAGTTTTCACAATGTGTTTTCCCTACTGTCCATAAAGAACAAGTTGGTAATAACAAGACGTGTGATAGTATGAGGTAAGAGTGTTATTTGAGGGTAAATTAAGAAGTGAGAAATTGATTATGTAAAAGTTGTCAAGTCAAGACTTCAGGTTAAAGGGGCACATTCATTGTCCGTATGATCAATTATATCTTAGTCTCAGATACAGAAATTGTTCAGCTATGCTAATCATTTTCACAGCTAAATTTGCTCCTTACTACATCATAATTGTATATTAGGGGGGAAGGGAGGGGGGGGGGGGGGGGGTCTTATCAAAGACAACTGTGATCAGCTGGATGGTTGTAGAATTCAACCACTTAGATCAACAGACACAAGCAGTTTTGTTAGGAAGGAGTATTAATGAAGCAATTTATCAGATTCTTTCAAATGTCACCAGTTAGTCAAAAAGTCTACTTATACCCCCTTATATATATTGAAATACATTCTGTCTCATGAAATAAGTTGATGTCTTATATTCCTTGTTTTATAAGTTCCATAGCATGAAATTAAGATGAGATGTCCCTTTAAAATAGCATCAGTCAAAGAATCATTCCATTTAATGATGCTTATTGATTTTCTTGAAGAATCAAAGGCTCTATAACAAGACAAACATTATTGGTGAAATGTGAAGACCTTGTTTAATTATTAGTCAATACAAGTTTTTAACTGACTTTGAAATGAGAAGGAAAAACTTTTGTAAGTGGGGAAAAAAGTTGTTAAAGATTTATACTGTGGTTTTTATGAGTTTTTTTTTCTCCCAATAACTGGAGAATTTCTATGATTGGATTTCTCAGAAGAGTCTCAAGTAGATTGAGATAAATTACAATTTTCGAGACGACTACTTCCTTTTACAGTAGACCTACTATTGTCAAAGGTCTGTAACTTTGCTTTCAATAATCAGAATAACTCCCCTAGAGATATCATATAACACATTTGCTATAAATATATATTGATATTGTTGTTTAATGAAACCAATGAGTAAAAGCCTCAGGTTTAGTTTCTGTAAAAATGGAATCATGAAAACGACTCTTCCTCAATGATGGTATGTCATGCTAATGCTCAAGCAGTATTGAAAGACAGCAGAATATGATATATTTATATCATTTTGAAATAACATGACCTTATAAATACTGATCAAACTTATTTTCATTTGACTATACAAGAGCCATTATTATCCATTTTCACTCTGAAACTCTAAATTAGAAATTTACACTTTCTATAGCAAAAAATCTGAACAGGTCTCTAGAGAAACATGTACAAGCATTAAAATAATTTTGTTCTACCACATTTGTAGTTTGATATGTATATTACCTGTCCCATGCTTTCTGTATAGTAAGCAGCTAACACCAATGACTTACTGTTGGTAAAAGTAGAAGGCAGCTGTATAAGTGCTGGCAGGTGTGCTGTTTTCTTATAACATGTATTATGATGTGCATCATATGCGTAACTAAAAAAATATGAAACCGTTTATTAGTATTATGAAATACCATTATACCATTATACCATTATACCAAGTCACTAAAATATCAACTGTATACCAAAACTTCAACAACTAAATATCAACAACATACTAACATTTACTGTGAAAGCCAACTTCTAAAGAAAACAAAACATTTACACATTCAAATGTTAAAACAATTATACAGACGCCAAAATATTCACCTAAAAACTGGTTAAATGCATTGTTTTTATTTTGGCTGACTGTAGAGTCACCTGCGTGGCATTGAAAAACATTATGGAATATTGTTAGGTAACAAAAACATTAGTGGTACCTATTTTTTTCTCAACAAGAGACTTTAATATTATCTACTTTATTTCTAACATAACCTTGCAACCTAATGGTACTTTTCAGTTTCATCAATACTCTAATAACTGTTGCGGTACCAGTGAAAATTCTGCTCACGGATACCTTCATTTCCTAACCAGTTGTTGACTATTTTATTTTCAAACATCTCTGATTATCCTCTTCTTCTGTTTTCCATCTCCTTGCAGTCTTTCCAATTCCAGCAGAAATGTCTCCAGGAATCTTTGAGATTTTGTACAATGCCAATCAAATAATCAATTGTCTCCTTTCATAGTGGACCTTAGAACAAGGCAGGATTCCTGCTAGGTTTCTGCTTCCATCTTCCATTGATTCAGTGATTTATATAAGACATGCCAAGGCAAAAAGCATTAATAAAATAATTGTCAGACAAATTGATTTATATTACATGCAAGAAATCATCTCATTTCTTCTTTGTGACAATTTTAAATGACAATAGATCAATCATGTAACAAAGTACCTTGAAGAATACTCATGACTTAATTACACGGAATATGGTGCTTTTCGCATTGTTTTTCTGGTCTCATTATCATTTTTTTGGTTCTAAGATACTTTGAGTTGCTTAACTATTTTTTGGTCTTAGTTTTTTTTTACTGTGTTTTTATATTGATGGTCATATCATTTAATACTGTGGGAAGTGCCATAGGCTCAAATAGTATCTTCAGAAGGTTTCAATCCAGATTCCAAGTTACTGTTGGCATTGCTGGTAGGATTTTATAAATTAAGACCCTATGTCCTACTGATTCTCCAGAGAGATGGCCATTGACAAAAGTAAGCTTTCAAGATTCCTCATTTAACACTGTATTAATTAGATAAGCCAAATGCTCTAAAAGTAGGATGTAAAACTCCTCTGTTCTGTGCACTATCACTGATTATGATTTGCCTACTTGATGTTCACTACACCATGCAGTTGAAACCTGGATCTTAGCATGATCTTAGTGCTAGGATGTCCTAGGGTCTTTACTTCTAACGCTGTTTCAAGGATATCCTAGCACTAAGATCGTTGCAAGATTACGTGACCTGATTACTATGAAGTACAAGATTGTAGATGCCTGGTATCTATAAGTATTAACCACAAACTTCCTGTCTTTTCCCAGTATACAAATTTCACCAGATACTCAACAGACTTTATTGATGGCTTCAGGCAACTATACAAAACATTTCATTGTATTTACATTTCAGTCTGCTGATCATGTATACAGATACCATCTAGAAATGGATACTATAGTTTGCTATAATAGAAACCCCTTCAAGATGTTATATTCCACTCCTTGATTTCTATGATTTCTCATGTGAAGGTTCTAGATTTCTGTTAAAGATTATGTCACTGTTAAAGTAGTGAAACCATAAAACCAAAGTTCAGATGCAAGATATGGCTTTAACTGAAGAAGGGATTGAAAAGTATATCCTATATATTGTTTGGCTTTATAATATTTTGACCATGTTACCTGTTAAATGTTGTAATATTTGGAATCTGGAATTTTACTCAGAATTGACGATTAAATCAAAGGCAGAATACTAGAATTCTAATTACATTTCATTTTTTATTATTGGAAATTCTAAAGCAAAGAAAAACACATTAAACATGTAACATGCTCTGTCTATGAACTTCATGCTAATTCTGTGTAATTTGTACTGGAAACAATTTACACGAAGATGGATTGAGACTTCATGCTTGTTAATTACTCTCTATATAGTCTTGTAGCGTGAGTTTATAACCAAGCATGTGATCTGGATAAAACAGAGTTAATAAAATCAACAGATAACGTTTGCTACATACAAATCATGTATTAAGTTCTACTCACACTAGGGGAAATGATACAAGTTATAGAAGCTCTTGTTAATGAATTTTTGGTGGTCTGGTTCTTCATTATTATTTAAGGTGGATTCTCACTGTTCTAAAAGGTTTATAGAATAAATCTATATGGGATTAGAAATAAGAAAATGTGGGTAGAAATTGACTTCAGATGTGACATAGAATCAGAAATGAAATACAGTTGAGTTCTTAATCCTGCTTATTACTTATTAGTCTAATGATGAAGTGCAATCCCATGCAGTGTGACCCAGTACAAAGTGCTCCGCCAAGATCATGCAGTTGTTATTTGTCTGATGAACCATACATTCTTCCATGAGTACAACCATTTATCTGACAAAGAGAAAAAAAAACAGATTTAAAAAACTGTATTCATCTTGACAAATGATTGGTTTTAATTTTGGACTGCCAAGTAGCTAACTTATCGAGAGAAGCCAACTTTAAAATATCATTGATTCTATGCAGATCAACTGTTTTCTTGACTTCTAGTAAACATCAAACAGTGTAAGGAAACTTTATATGTCTTGAAGCTTGTGTTCTCTGGAGTCAAACTTCACACCATGAATAATTCATATTGGATTTTTTTATGTTAGAAAGCATTGTTCTTTGTGAATATATTTCTTGATTTTATATCTTTAACTACGCACTCAGATAGCAGCCTTTACATTCTTTTTAATAATATATAATACCTGATTTTAATTTATTCTATTTTGCCATGGTTATTCTTTGTACCCCTTTTCATCATTAAGAAGTTTCTAGTACTCCTTAACCAACCATAGGCAAACTGCAAGTCATCAAGTCATGAATTGGTTACACAGTCCACTGCTTTTTTGAAACACTATCATATATAATTGTCTAAGAGACTTTCCAGGTACCTCTGAGGTGTTTGCTGGTACCCCCATGGGATACTTATAGACCTGGTTGGCAATCCCAGCTCTAATATAAGATGAAGCTTCATCAGTGTTTGTTTAGACAAATGAAATAACATAAAATATGGAGAAAATAATTCATCAGGGAGGTCAATTGATCATGTATGATTTTAAACATATTTATGTTTTGATATGAAATAAATTTCCCATTATGATGTCTGTCTTATTGAAACATTATACGGTTAAATTACTTCAAAAACAAATGGTACAATATAATAGGATATAATTTGTTTCTGGTCCTTAGAGATATTTTATTCTTCTGGCCAGACAAAATCACATTATCTTGATTGTTTTTAGATAGGAATCGAAATAATTCATTCAATTTATTTTTCTGTAAATGCTTTTCTTAATGGTTGCAATAAAACATAAGGTTTTTTGGGTGTTTTTGATCATATCAATATCACTGTTCACATCTGTTCAAGAGAATATTAATATTGTCATGGAAAGGATGACAGTGTAAACTATAACAGAACATTTCATTGCAGGAGTATCATGTGTCTAATTAAGATTATAAATCTCTCCCTCAATCTGTTTAAGATCCAATCCAACATATCTGAATGATTCAAAATCCTCAGAACTAATGAGGAATTTTAACTTAATATCATCTATCACATCATGTATGAATGTGTCTGTTCCTCTGAAACAGAAATCATCCACAGGGCAGCAAATTAGTCCTTCTAAATGGTCTTGACTATACCACATAAACACTGCTTCATCATATCTACTCATTATTGCACCACATTTTAAAAGTTTGTTCTTGACTTTAAGGTGCCAGACACAGGGTGCATCACATAATCTGTGGTGTGGTGTTTAGTTTCCACAGTTTGTCAGTTCCGGCTTCTACAGGTGGTTTGAGAAATACTTCACGATTAATCGAATCACCATGCAGAAAAGCTGCTTTAACATCGAGTGATTTCAGTTTCCATTTATAAGTGCCTTTAAGGACAAGCACTAACCTTAGGTTCTCCTTAAAACAAGTATCTTTTCGGATAGAGTTTTTTCCATATTCCTCAAAACCCCGAGCAACATGCCTGGCTTTCACTTTCAACCTTTTATCTTGTCTGTCACCACCCATCTCACTGAAATTGTCAGCTGACCAACACCTCTTCCAACATAACTGCCATAGATTCTATTTTTGTTTCCAATTTCAACCTTTCTCCAAGATCCATACTTTTCCTATTCCCACTGCTCCTATCTTCAATGTTTACTTAACTTCTATTTCTCCTTGTGCTTTTCCCAGCTCTTCCAATCAGTCTCTTCCTCCCACATTGATTCATCAGACGTTTTATTTTCTATCACATCACCTTTGACAGAGATCATACAGGGCCTCGGTTTATTGTTCTATCTGACCGACTGGACGATCGTTCCATGTCAGCCCCTCTGACCTATATCACAGACATGGGGAAACTGGGTTGAAAATTCCTTGGGTATTATCTCAACCTATGCCGGGATTGAACCATGGACCTTCAGGTTAGCCAGCGTGTAGGTAGACTAATTTATATTACTGGGGTGAAATAATGTTTTTTTTTAAAAGGACTGAAGAAAGTAAAATAATGGGAATGGCAGGTCTATGTTATGTCTTTATGGAATATTGTAAAAATAGCTTTCCTTTGATGTTGAAATCATATCAATAATAATTATAAAAATAAATATTTTATTTCCTTTACCCTTCATTTATCTCTTGATTTATTTTCGTCATGGATTTCTTAATTTCTCCATTTCCTCTTGTATGATTTAAGCATGATTCTATATGGCAGATCTGTACACTACAATATTACAGTTGATTTTCACTAACCTGCTTTCCCGATCAGTGCAGCAGGTAGGAGAAGCTGCCATACATATTGTCATGTCTAGTTATTCAGATCATGAGACCCCATGTGCTGCAGACTGTCATTTTGTGGCAGATGCCAAAAAAAAAGAGAGTAGGCTAATGATGCTATCCTGGTAAAATTCACCAAAACGATATTGATCTGTAGAGTGCAATGGAAACTTCCACTATTGACTGTCTTGCATATCCAACAGGTTTGAAACCAATTCTAGAAAATAATATTGGTGACAGAGAAATAATCGAAATTGATATTGGCAATGATATTCTCAGTAAAGACTTATGGTATCAAAGTTGAAATATGATTGATAGTGAATGTGTATTGACTTCATCAAATAGATCACAGAATGTACTAATAACTACTAACTCAGTACCACTTTAACCTTAAGACTGACTAGATTAAAACCTAAAGACTTGTATTTTAAAAAGCTGTTTTCTGATTCCTTTCACTGCTTCCTTTCCTTTACTGAATAAATGGTGTCTAGGTTGTGGATTATTTGGAGCCAAATATCAGGAAGATTTAGAGCTTAATTTTAAGAAAATTATCTCAGCATAATTTGAACTTAAGATATAAAAGTAGACTTTTAATTTAAATTTTAAAATTGCTTTCCTGTTTTTCTAATTTTGTTTCTTCCAGTTTAATGGAATCTTTGTGAATTTATTTAACAATCTAGTTAAATTTCTATCCTTTCACAGCACTTTTATACATATTCTCTTTTGAATTTCTTGTTATTATCAAAACCAAACACAGCAAAACAGATCATGTATAATTCGGTAAAATGGACTGGCATGGATCAAAATTGTCAGTTTAAGAATAATTATAAACAGAAATTAAAGTGAGATTGTAGCATAGATTCCAGCTTTACATTCTTATTTCATGTCTAATCTTTGAAATAGTTTGCTTGAACACATCAAGGGAATATGATAATACGTTACACCAAACAATTCTGGAAAAACTGAAGTTGGATGGGAAATTTCCCTGGAGCTTTTTCAAACCTGATTACAAACTGAATGATTTTAATTTGATTTTTGATGTTGGCAGTTTTATATACATGTACCTGCATTGCATAACACTTTTGCTTTTCTCACTGCAACCTACATAACTGTCATTTCTTAAATTATACAGTTTGGCACCCCTTAAATGTGTTCATATTGTTATATACATAAATTTCTCTGAATATTTTCCAAACTGTAGTTAGCAGCCTTCAAGTGACTGTATATTCTGATAAGCGAGCTTGAAAACTCTGGATAATTATAGGTCTACTGTTTCTGTGATAGCCGGCTGTATACCACTACAAGAACTGTGGTTAGTCAAAACTTTTACACTAAAAATCAATTGTAGAGTTGAATTAATGCTTGACAGTAAAGAGATCTATATAGAAGTCAGTTGGAATAGTAGTCGGAGTGGTTTCAATCAGTATACAGCTGGTTTGCCTTCAATCTCTTAATATCTTGTTAAGCTGTGTTTCATCTTACTCACTTTGATGTGGAATTTTTTGTTATATTCACATTATTAGAAGTTAACATCTAGTGAAGTAATTGTTTAGGAAACGGACATTCTTAACAACTTCTTTTAACTGTTAGCAACAGTAAGTTATCATCTTTTATTTTTAATAAAGTTATGTTTTTCTCTCATAGACTTTGTATCTGCCATAAAGTTCAGATAATAGCAGACCACCCATATTTGACATCAAATTATTTCTATTTTTTAAAGTAGTGCTGTTAGTAAATGCTGCATTCATTTTTCCATGAATTTATCTGACAGTTGCTGCTAAGAAATAGTCAAGATATACTCATGAACAATTTCCACTTTAGCTTGAATCCTAAAATTGCAATGACTTATCAGACAATAAAGTTAATTCCCACTATAGAGATAATTTTTTCATATTCTTCAACTGATTTTCTTCTCTGTCAGTGATATATGTCAGAGTGGCTGAATTGTAAAAGCTTTCATTTGTTCAGATGGAAACTTAACTTCCTGTGTGCTACAGGCTTTGCATTTTAAAAACCCCTTGATGGATGAAAATGTTACAGTGCATGGGACTGTGTTTCTTCATTAGCTCAGTTGGATTCATATATTTTGATATTGAGTTCAGAAATGTTATGTACTTCAAATACATTTGGGCTTTCCGATTCAGTAAGCTTCTTGACTTTGAAGATGTTTATTTTTGAATATTTGACTGTTTTTATACTGAAAAGCAAACAAAACTTTACTTTTAACAATCCAAATTTATAAACTTTTACAGACACACTGGCAGTTCTGTGGTCAATAAACTCATTTAACATTCTACTGCTTCATTTTGTTGATTAACGTATATTTAACTATTGACTTTCTCCCATGTCTATACTTATTACAAGCAATTGAAAATACATATACACAGGGTGTTCGACATTAAGATAATAAATACTCAGAGAGACTTAAATAAATACCTGTTCTCTTTTGTCTTTGTCCATGTCTATTTTAGTTTATACTGTAGAAAGGGGGCTATTTCGAAATGCTTGATATATATATGATACATGGGTATTATTTTAGTAGTAGTCTTACAAACTCTGCATTATGTGAAGGGGCTGAGTGGGGGCCAATAGAACCAGGCATTTAAGAAATCAATGGTTTGGAATAGAAACGCTGCTACTCCAGACATGTCAGATCAGGACTATGTTAAGTTGTGGTTAAAATTTGTCCAGATTTATTTTTGGTAAACCATTATATATTTTAATAATGTAATAAATAGTTTTATTAGCTGACTGTTTGAGAATTAAATGGTTCAGGATATGTGTTAAGGGTGTTGATTGGTCTATTTCATGTTATGAAAATAAGGAATTATTATATGAAAAACTGATTTCTTGAGAATGGTTGTGCATTTTATGCAGATTTGGGGTCCTTTTCTTCAGTTAAAAATTGATTTTATGTCTTTCAGATTATTTTTAATGTTTTGACAGCCCTTGAAACAGGTCATGAAAATTTCAACCCTTCAATATATAAGATTAAAAAACTATGAATGGATCAATCTCTGTCAAACTTAACATATCAGAAAACAGTCTTTTGTTATTAATTTTGTTTATTCGTTTTGGTGGTAACCATGGAAATGTAACAATTTAATAGAAAACGGAAAAAATTTTCCAAGAACCAAACTAATTGGAATTTTCTAAAAAGATCATTATTATTCTCTTCCTTATGGAATAAGCTTTCTAACAAGTCCAAGATTGTCGACTTGACATAATAAAGGGCTAAATAATCCTATGTCAACCAGGGCAAATTTTTGTACTCAATTGAAATTTCAGCAAAAACTAACCAGATACAAAAATTCTTGCGTTTATTTCATTTCCTTGTTTAAATATAAAGTAATAACTAAATATCTGCAATCTGGATGCAACAGTAATTAATTAATTAACTGTTATGTTGAGCAACAGTTCAAACAACCTACAGATTTCATCATCTTGTTTTACTATCATCCTGCCATAAACACAGCGACACTTGACCCCAGGGAATTCCCTGTGTTGATAAATTGTTTTTTGATTCAGTATCCTGTTTTTTTGGTATCTTTTGCGTTCTAAAGCTACACTAACCAAGTTCAGCTCTAACCCCAACCAACGAAATTGCACTGGTTTTGTTCGAGAATCCCTTGTTTAGACTTTCATTGCATCCAATGACGTAAATTGATCAGGAATGTCTTTCTGTTTCTATAAATAACTATTACCAAATAGCCAATATCTCGGGTAGCAAAAGATTCATGTTCTTTTCACACACACATTTTATTCTGTACATTTGTGAATACAACAGAGCAACAGGCCTGTTCATGACAGGATGTTTTCTCGAATGCTAGCCCAGCAACAGCCTTAATGTTAATCCTGTATTGCATTCAATTTGTTTATTCAGAGCACTAGAGCAAAATGGATACTGAGAAAGTCTAAAATTTGTACTTCTTGAGTTAAAAAAAGGGTCAAATTAAAATATAGAAAATTCCCCTCACTGCTTGTCACATTGCATGCTCATTTTTATGAGCATAATGAAGCATATTAAAAAAAAAAAGTATTTAAAACTTCTGACCAATTAAGTCATTTTTCAAAGGTGCATCTGGAGCAAGAAACATCAAGTGTTAACATATAAGAACTTTCAAAACCTATTGACAGGAGGTCAAATAGAGCAATTTGAAACTGATATCTAGTTAGCTGATGTTTTCAGTTGTCACTAATGCAATTTAATGCTTGGCAGAATAGAGAAGGATTAATGGCTTCTCTAGTGGTGTTTTGAAATGTAATTTGTAAACTGTCTCTTTATCGGAAGTATCTCTTTTAACCTAATGTAACAATTGCAGCACTGCCTTGGTAACTTTTTTTAATGAACCAATTTTATCTAAGTGATATCTGACCTACAAGAATAAGTATACATCCATATTTTTGATGGATAACAACATAGGTTCTCAAGGATCCTGTCTATCAACTGGTTCATAGCCACAAATCTTCCTTGATTAACTGTACCTTTTTTACTGGTGGATTCACTTATTTGAGCTCATCAGCCTTTTCATGCTGACTGCATTCCTTCCACAGTGTGTCCTTCCTGTCATCATCTGAATATCCACTTCTGGCACTAAGTATCCTTTACCATGATTAACTTTTTTATGAGATGCAAGTCAGATAAAGTTTGGAATTGGGTTTCTGATGAAGATAAAGATTTCTGCTGTCAGGTTGAGAAAAGCAACTTTGTTTTGTGATATCCAGTCTTGGTTGAGCTGTTTTTATATGTGAGTCTGTAATATAGTATGATTATTCAAGTATATAATATAAGACAATGAAAAAACAATTCAAACATATTACCTACAAGACAGAAAAATGTTTTAATAGAGAAAAGTTTTTGAAAATTTGATTTTAACTGTCTGACTTATCTAGGATGAATCCTGTAACAAATGTCTCAGAAGGTTCCTATGAAGCTCTAATTGCAATTGAAAGTTGACATTGATTTTCTGATCAGTATAAATCAGCCTCATCTATTTGAGAGTGTTCCTGAAGTTCTTACGTGATCAGT